ACTTTTGGTTGACGCTTTAAGTTTTTGGTTGACTGTCTAAGATTTTGGTTGACTATCTAAGTTTTTGATTGACTTTCTAAGTTTTTGGTTGAACTCAAAAAAGATTTGAACTCAGAAATCACAAACTAGGGTGGTGGTGTATGGAGGTAAATTTGTGTTTTTTATTGAAATTATTTTTTGATTGAAGATGCTTTTTGTTTGATTGCATAATAAAAACACAAATTTACCTCCATAGTTCTGTAAATAACATTCAAACAAACAACACATATAGAAACTTCTGATCAATCCATATCATTTTCAGACTTAAAACAATRTACAGATTTAAGCTCCGCCAACTTTTGGTTAAGCCACACCCACATCCGGTTTAGGCACCRCCCACTCCGAGTACAGACACACATACAGACAATTTAGATGGTTGAACAGATACAGATACAGATAGTGGTGTACTCGCTCATCCCTACTTGCAAGCAAGTAGGTTTCTCTGCAGTATGTAGGGGGAGTTTCTCGTTGTGTGGATGGAGTTTGTCCTAACCATGATTGGCAGAGTTCTTGATGTGAGTAGAGTTTGTCCTAAATGTAATTGCTGGACTTGATGTGTGGGCTGAGTTTGTCCTAACTGTGATTGATTAGATTGACTTGTCTTGTGGGGAAACTTCAACRAGGAACTGATGGTAATAGTCCCTCCATACAGTGTTCAAATTTCGTGCACCTAGCACCTTCCTGTCTGGAGCTGTGTGCCATGGCCTGTGTCTGTTGTGAATGTTTTTATTTTTTTGGTTACTCTTGTTTTCTGTACTGTCTTTCTGTTTACCTCGTCCTGCCTGTCATTGCTCCAGCCTCGTCCCCTCACCTGTTCCTCATGTTTCTCTCCCAAATGTTCCTTGTTTTAGCTCGTTAGTTCCCCTTTATATTCTGTTCTCTGTCTTCAGTCTGGTGTCAGAGCTTTGTTATTTGTATCCTGTTCTYCACAGCCACAGTGTTCTCTAGTTCCCAAGTCTGTTTTTGTAAGTAGCCTACTTTTTGCTGCCACGCCAGCTTTTTTGTTTTTGTTAATAAAACCTTTTGTTGCAACCTTTTTTGGWTGAATTTCATTGCAGTTCTGCACCTGGGRTTCAAACCTCCTAAGCAAATCCCAATACCTTGACTAAAATTAATATTTATACTTWAAAAAATAGGTGCTTCCTGGCTGTTTCGACTGAGCTACTCCCAGCTTACCCCCCACTTCTTCAAACTCCACCCAAAATAGTCAATATGGCCAATCATGTCTTAACAAATTATGCCCACAAAAGCAATAAATAAATAAATAAATAAAAAATAAAAAAGATCAATCATGTCTTATACAAACTCCTCCCACAAAACATGAAACTCCTAGTGACAGCAGAGACCTCCTTCTCTTTGTAAACCAGATCTGTGATCCCAGTGGGACTTGCCTGTTTATATAAAGTTTAATAAATACAGTTAGATGCAGTGGCGGCTGATGGAATTTTCTTCGGGGGTGGGGGGGACAACTACAAAATAGGCTCATCTCCAAAAGCAATCAAACATGTACTAAGTTGTATCATGACAGTGTATTTATTAAACAAATGAAAATAATAAAACAGCATTACAATGT